TGATTATAAGAACAAGCTCTGCTTCGGGTAACCAGCTTTTTTTCCTGCAAAAAAATGAGAAAAATACAATAAAAACATACATTAATTCATATATACGTTAAGCATGAATACACCATTGATACATTAAACAATTTGATAATACATACATACATACAAATGCCCACATACAAAAGCATACATACCAACATACGTACGTACATGATAAATACATACAGCACAGCATACAGATATGCGCAAGGATTCACGATATCACTAGCATTGAAAGAGCAGCATTTATTTGTCAGAATGATGCTGTCATCTTTTCCAATTACACCACTGAGACCCTTGACCTTTCTCTCTCCTCACATCACAATGACGCCACAATGACATCACATTACAATGACATCTCGAAAGTATTACAATGGCATTGAATTAATTTCCAATGATATCTTGGTTACATAAAGATGATATCAAATTGATATTACATAAACTCCAAGTTAAATTATATTCAATCATGTAACAACGACATCACAATGACGTCAGTGTGACATCACATCACACTAACACCACACCATAATGACATCAAAATGACGTTAAATTACATTAAAATTACACTAACATCACATGGCGATGACACTGTAACAACATCACATTACAATGACGAAAGTTTTACGATGCCCCATATTATATCAATATCATACCACTTTTCTATTCATTAAATTTTTTCTCAATACTTTTGGCTTTTTCTACAAATTTCTAAATAATTTCAGTGTATCTACAAGACAATTTACTTAGATCATATTTTTTGTGCTAGTATCTGTTTGTGTATGAAATGTATAAAATTTCAAAATCAATTTCAAATTTCAAAAATAATTTCAAATGTTGCATGTTATGCAATTTGAAATAACTTGCAACATATAACATGACATGTAACATACAACATGTAACATGCAACATGTAACAAACATTGTCTTATTATCATGTTATCTTGTAACGATCATTCCTTCTCGCTGCCAAACGAATCAGCAATCGTAACATTTTGTTATATTATTATTATTTTATTATGAATTCACTAGAACCTCTACATGTGACACACACGTATTCACACGCACGTACACATACACACCATACCACACACACACACACAACATACACACATAACACACACTAACACATACATACATACGCAGACGTAAAACTCATCGTTGTTTTGTGTTATATATTGAATACATTATGAGCTTTTTTATTTTTGTCCTATTCATTTTGTTTTGATGTAATTATGTCCCTTGGTAGCTCAGTTACACACCTACACAAACACAACGCATGTGTTTGTTAGTTTGATCATATTCGGGAAAAAGCAGCATCATCATCATATTACCAGATGATGATGATGATGATGAAGAAGAAGAAGAGGATGATGATGAAGATGATAGAGATGATGATGAGGATGGTCGAGATGAAGTTGCTTATTTCGAAGAATTGTAATATTTGTTTTATTTTTTATGCCAAGTTTGTTTTTGTGGACTGAATTTTTTTTTAAATATAAATTTATTACATTTAAAATGTTTTTCAATAAATTAAATTAAGATAATCATTTTCTTTTAAACAATTTCACTTCTTTGTACTTTCCAACGTTTTTCACATAAAATTTTTTTATTACAACTTAATTTTACCTTTTTATGCATTTCCTATTGCCACCGACAAACCATATAATCTGTTTATCTACTTTTTACTGCTTAACTTCGTTTAATACATTTTTATTTTTCCCTTCTCACCTAATAACATTTCCAAACAAAGACGATTTATTATCATTCGAGAGGATGCAAATGCAGGCGAAACCCTACGATGTTAACGTTGAATAATGAGTCATCCTAAATAAATTCTCTGAATTCACCGGCTTACTGTATGAAATAACAACATTAATAACAGCAACAACAACAATATAACAACAACAGCAACACTATCAACAACAACGGAAACAGCTCTATTAGAAACAACATATCCAAATAACAACACCATTTATAACAACAACAACAATTGCAGCTACAAAAACATCAAACAACTGCCGCACCACTTGAAATTTAATAACGAAAATTATGATAGTGAGCGTTTTCCGTATTTTGAATATTCAGCAATGCTTCGTACACACGCCATGAGATAAATTACAGCACTCAATATCACCATCGCCATCTCCAGCAGACGTTCTGTGTTTCCGCTGCATCGTGGGCATTGGTGCCATTTTTGTTTCGCTGTTGATGCAACTGTGGAATCAATGAAATAATATGGAGTCTTAGTTCAACAATTGGTTTTGTCTCATGCTTTTATATCATGTTTTATATTTTATATCATGTTACGCTATTTTTCACACAAATAATACAACGCTGTAAAACACAACAACCTACCGACCAATCGACCACCAACCTACTGACCAATCGACCACCAACCTACCGACCAACCGACCAACCTACCGACCAACCGACCAACCTACCGACCAATCGACCAACCTACCGACCAATCGACCAACCAACCTACCAACCAATCGACCAACCAACCTACCGACCAACCAACCAACCTACTGACCAACCGACCAACCAACCTACCGACTAATCGACCAACCAACCTACCGACCAATCGACCGACAGACCAAGCAACACAAACTAACGAAAAGGACTGCATAGGTGCGCTCTTGTTCACATTATGAATGTTTGCATGTTATGAACATGATTCTGTATTTTATGTACATAAAGGTATCCGTGCAAACACTCATGTGAATGTATATATATATATATATATGTATGTATATATGTATGTATGTATGCATGCAGCATGTATGTATGCAATGTATGTAGTTATATATGTATGTATGTATGTATGTATGTATGTATGTATGTATGTATGTATGTATGTATGTATGTATGTATGTATGTATGTATGTATGTATTATTATTATTAGATTATTTATATATAAAGCGCCCTTTATTGTTCTCAAAGGCGCTAACAATGTAAAAGTTGATTAAATGCGCTAATGCAAAAGTTGATTAAATGTTTCACTTCAATCAAATCATATCATGAAAAGTTTGTCTGGAGAGATGGTTCTTTAGCTTTCTTCAAAATTCAGTAATTGACAACCCACGATTTCGCAAGTCAACCGGCAAACTGTTCCAAATCTTCGGTTCCATGATAGCGAAATCTCTGCAACCAACAGCAAGCTGAGTTTGTCGAATTGTTAACAAATCTAAATCGTTTGACGTAACTTCTGACACTGTAACGGTGCCTTTCTTGGAACAATTCGATCCATTAAATATTTCGGCGCTAATTCATTAATGCTTTTATACACCAGTAGGGCAATTTTGAAGACAATTCTTTGTTGAACGGGCAACCAATGAAGATTGAAGAGAATAGGAGTAACATGATCAAAATATGAACCACCAGTTAACAACTTGGCAGCCCGATTTTGAATTAATTGTAACTGTGCAACATACTTTTTGGGTAAACCGTAGAATAAACTGTTGCAATAATCGATCCTCGAGTGAATGAACGAGTGAATTAAACATTGCAATGTATGCATATTTAGAGATCCTTTGATGAGTCTCAATTTTCTCAATTGATAAGTACATTCTTTCAACAACAACTTTATGTGCAATTGCATTGTCATGTTTGTATCAAAAATAAATCCAAGATTTCGTGCTGACGCATAAAATTCGATGACAGATTCCCTTATTCTGATAGTGTTGATACCCACTTTTTTCACTTGTTGCCATGTACCCACAGGCAAAAACTGGGTCTTGCATTGGTTCAACTTTAATCTGTGCCCCATCATCCAAACATCAATGGCTGATAAACACGATACTAAATCATCGACCACATTACCAAACGACGAGGGAGTGGAGTTGGCTATTATTTGGATGTCGTCAGCAAATGCATGAAACCTGAAATTGTACGACTCAATTATTGTGTAGACATCCGCTGTATAGAGCAAAAAGAGAATGGGACCTAAGACGGAACCCTGTGGTACACCATGTGACGAAGCATCGACAGCTGCCAAATTTGTTTTGAATAAAATTTGTTGAGTACGACCAGCAAGGTACGACACGAACCACTTGTGAACGACTCCCGATAGTCCAAATGTTTGCTTCAGTTTTTTGAGAAGTATTGCATGACCGACGCAATCGAACGCCGAGCTCATGTCCAAGAGAGCAAGCAATGACACATTTTGTTCGTCCATTGATGAATACAACCTTGACGAAACATCATTTAAAGCCGTTTCCGTCGGGTGAAACACACGATAACACGACTGGTGAACAGGCAGAAGATTATGAATTTTCAAATGAGAAGCAAATTGTGATAAAACGATTCTTTCAACCAACTTTGACAAAAACATCAGGTTAGATACAGGTCGGTAAATTTTTAACTCATGTCTATCAAGAGAATTCTTCTTCAAAATCGGTGTAACAACAGCATTTTTAAACGCTGATGGAAATGAGCCAGAACTTGAACACAAATTTATGAAAAACGTTAAAAACGGTAAAAACAAATCAACAAATCTTTTAAGAATTTTTGTGGGCACACAATCAAGAAAACAAGGTTTTGATGGAGACTCTAAAATGACTTTTTTTATGTAGCTGTCAGTACAGGGCGAGTAGTTTGAAAAAAAAGATTCTTCATCAAGAGCACATGGAGTGAATGTTGGTTCATCACAATGATCGGTTGAATTACGAAAATCATCAATTTTGCTTTTGAAAAACTTGGAAAAGTCAAGAGAACTATGATCAACTTCTGATACCTCCATTACCTGTTCCATTCCAAGCAAACCGTTAACGGCATTCCAAAGACGTTTTGGTTTGTTACTATTTGTTTCCACCAAGTATGTATGTATGTATGTATGTATGTATGTATGTATGTATGTATGTATGTATGTATGTATGTATGTATGTATGTATGTATGTTAAAACCAAAACATGATGAGTGACACTGAACCGTCAAACATCAAGTAACAAATGGATTAACACTTTGATTTGTCGTTAATTGCACATGTCGGCATTCAGTTGGATATTTTCAAGCACACAGACACGCAGGAACCGCTGCAACAAGCACGAAATGTGGTTGGTTGCAAAAAACAGTTCCCTGCTGTCACCTGATCTGACACTGATCCTTTTGCCTATTTCCTTGAGAAATTTAAGGGTGTTGGGGTCCATCGGGCCGAGAACCTCGATGCATATTGGCAAGAATTCCATCGAGGGGAGGGCATTCCCATATTTTTTCATTTTCTCGTCCGCTGCCCTGGCCGCGGCCAAACCGCATTCTTTACTTGTCAGGTTTACGTATCGTTCGGCGAGGGTGCCAGGGACCGTAACATCCCACGCCAAACATCTGCCGGCTCTTCAAGGTATTAGCGTGCATCCGTCCGGTCGCCTACCATCATGCGCAGAAATGCCGGATGGTTCCTTGAGAACCGGGATTGAAGCCTTGGAGAAGAGCCGACAAATGTAATCGTTTAGCGCTGAGTGACGTAGTTGACGGCCCCCACCCAGGCGACAAACCAAACCGTGGTGCCCAAACTCGTCCGCCTCAGCGCCACATCGGCACGTGTATTTATTTTGAATGACCAGGCCAAGTCTGAAGCCAATGGCAAATCTTACAGACTCGTCGTCAAGCCTGGTGCCCACAGAGGTGTTAGGCCACGATCTCAACCACCCACAGCTGGCAACGCTGGACATGGCCAACAAACGAGCGGTGGAAAAGTCGTCGCCGCATGAAGACAACAAATTTTGAAAGATTTTTTATATTCTTCGTTCAAAATCTGGACGTGCGTACGGTCCCCCGGGGCGGACGCTGGGGGAAGAATATCGCGGCAACGAAAAAACCGGTGGAGCAGGAAAGACTGTAGGTCGAGAGTGGCAGCGGCAGAAGAATTATAAACAACGGGAGCCAGCTGAACCACGCTAAGCAACCCCAGCCCACCAAATCGCACCGGCAGCTGAGCCTGGGACCAACCACTGTCGGTCACTTGAACATTGCAAATCGACGACAGGGCGGTGCGCAGGGCTCCGTCAAATTCGCCCAATTTAGAAGGGTCAATGTGTTTAGATGTACGCAGGAAGTACATCAATTTGGGCAAACTGAAGGCATTGCGGATAATAGTCAAGGCATCATGGGCCGAAAGACAGGAAACACGACCCAGGGCGAATTCAAGCTCAGAGAGCTTTTGGTCAAAAAACTTTATTTGATAATCGCCCTCGACCAAGGGTGTGCCTAAAAAACTCAGTTCTGATGCACCAACTCTGGGTATTTCAGCCAGCGCATGTGGCACCTGAAATTAACTTTGGCAGTGAAGTTCGCATTTTTTAATGTTTAACTCTAAGCCAATTGCAGCGGAGTTATGCTTCAAATATTCGTAGCTATCGGCCAGAGTTGGACCGTCCGAAGCTATGCTGATATCATCCAGATAAGCGCAAACGAAGGTGGACGAAGCTTTCTCTAAGAGTGGATGAAGAGTTAGTGCGAACAACAAAGGACCAAGGGGATCACCCTGCTGTACCCCCTCGGACGATTCTACAACCCAAGAGTGGTAGCCAAGGGAAGAGACTCCGCCATAAGCAGAATGGCAAAAATTGTAGATGTTGGGGCAAAAAAGTTTGACAGCCTCCAACATCGAGTCTCTTCTCAAGGCATTGAAGGCATTTTTAAAGTCCAGTTTCAGAAACCCCCATTGATCGGGGAGGTCGGTGACCAATCTTCGAACCGCATGAACAGCGGCCTCAGCGCCACCCTTAATCCCGACACCCAACTGAGTCGAGTAGAACTTGGTCTTGAGTTCGACCACGACCAGGGCCAAGGCACATTTGCCGGCCAACCTCCTCCAAACGTTTCCGACCGCAATCGGTCTGACCCCTCCGTCTTTCTTATTTAAAGCTATTAGCCGGCCTCCAAAAAAGAACCGGCGGACGGAGAGGGGGCAAGCTCCAGATAGGATCAAATTAATGAATTGGGTTAAGGAGTTCAGTGTGTCGTCAATTGGCAAGGGGCCTGAAAAAACATCCTTAAGGTGCTGGGGTCGTAGGCCATCCAGGCCTCCAGAAGAACCGTTTTTGAAAGATTTAACGGCCCTCAGCACCTCGGCGGGAGAAACGCAACCAGCCGTTGGTGTCAATGCGGGAAAGACCCGCCTGTCCACCGGAATTTTTGGGTGGATAGAACATAATTTATCGAAGGTGGCCGGCGAGCTCTCCGCCAGGCCCTCCGGCGAGCAGACAAGTCTGACCGCCGAGGCCAGGTTTCCCTGTTCAATACAAGATGACACAGCGTTGATCCATCGATCGGGGTTGTGCTTTTGTGATTTGGCATTATTGAACCCATCAAAGCACAGTACCAGGGTTTCAAGACCAATAGTTGAATATTCGCTTAGACGCTTGTTGACCAGATTGCCCTGGTTGACCCGGCGACCTCCTCTGGAAGTCTTCTGTAAGACGTATGGGACAAAACAGTGGAGTCTAACCCAGTGAGCCGGGTCACCAGGGTCGTTACAAACAGCCGTCAGCAAGGCGTTCAGATCATGTGCGAACTTCTCCCTGCATGGCTTAGGGATATGGTCGTACACCGGTACACATTTCAGCACGGCCGTCAGCTTATCAAAAACACCACGGTAATCCAGGCCGAGAGGATCACCGGAGACCGATGCGGCGGACGACCGTGTGGGCAGCCCAGGCCTGGGGTCGGGTGCGGCACCGAGAGGCGAAGCAGCCCTCGCGCCCGATGGATCAACTTTTTTCCGGGACCCCGAGCATTCCTGTCCTTTCATTTTACCTCCGTGCCGACATAACTTCCCGTCTGGAGTGCTTCTATAGTGGTTAAAGCAGACGGGGCACTGTTGTAACGTTGGAGCCATATGTGATTAAAAACAACCAAGAAACGAGGGAAAGGAAACAAACCAAGTGGGGTGGATGGATGAATGAATGGATGAACAAGCGAATGACCAAAGGAACGGGCCAGCGAACAAACGGATGAATGAGTGAATGATGGGGGAATGAATGAGCTAATTACTGAACGGACGAGTGAGGGAAAAAAAGAATGAATGAGTGAGTGAATAAATAAATGAATGAATAAACAACCGAACGAATGGATGAATGAATGAATACATGAATGAGTGACGGAATGAATGAACGAGCGAACGGATGAATGACTGAATTATCTTTAAATATTTAACCAGTGTTTCAACTTTTATTTATATAATTTTTTTTTTCTTTTCTTTTTTTTTTTTTATTGATGAATGAATGAGTGAGCAAATGAGTGAATGAGTGAATACAAAAACCTAGGTAACAGTGTGGGAGGAGACACTATTGCAGCAAACTTTGGCCCAATCTCTCCCTTATAGTTTATTTTTTTTTATTTTTATTTTTACACAGATTTTAAAAATTGGTTTAGGAAATTTCTTTTTTTATAAATAAATTTTAATTTTAATTTAAACTTTAAATTTTAATTTGAAAAGTAAATTAAAAATAAATGCCGGTAGAAGGTAAATAAGTTAAAATGTAGTGAACTTTCCAATAATAATAAAAACAGCTCACACCTGGCGCAGGCCGGTGACCTGTAGCAGCTATGAGCTGTGAATAAATTATAATATTGATAAAAAAAAACAAAAAACGAGAAAATTGGCCGAGGCAGGGCAGAAAAACGATAAAAAATGACGGAAAAACAAACCCGGGACAAAATTACAGCCGATGACCCCAAAAATCATCTATAAAAACAATTTAAAATCTATGAATGTATGTATGTATGTATGTATGTATGTATGTATGTATGTATGTTTGTATGTATGTATGTATGTATGTATGTATGTATGTATGTATGTATAAAATTTATGAAAGCATTGGTGGTTTGCATGTTTGTGTTGGTGTGTGTATTCAGGATGGTGGAATTACTAATAACACGTACGCGTATGCATATGTGTGTACTTATGCATTTGTTTATGGCCAAATAAATTCTCCAATACAAATATGCAAACAATGTTGTGTGCGTATGTGTACAAAGTTCGTACACTCGTGTGTGTGTGTGTGTGTGAGTGTGTGTGTGTGTACAAACAAGTGTACAAACGACAAACTGCAACTTGTTGATGAGCTTTAATATTTTTTTATCGTCTGTTTTGGTTTATTTTTTTTTTACAGTTCAAGAGCAAGTTTATATTTTCCCAACATGTAGATTGTGTCGCTGCTGTGCTAATTTGAAAAATTAATCTTTACTTATTACTGCTTAATCATAGTAAATGTAACAAAATTGTAACGAAGTTAAAATCGTGTAAACTTATATTCAATAACATAAAAAAGTGTTAAAAATGTACGAATGCTGTTAGGGCTTCTGTATAATTTTGATTCATGCTGCAGTAACTTTATGCTGATGTTTTTGAAAACAAATTGCTCTGGAAATGCAAAGATTGGTTGACAACCATGGTGACGATTTGATGATGACAAGGTTTTGAATTGTCGTTTTACTAAAATTATGATCAAAATTAAAATAATGAACTAGTTAATCTAACAATAATGAAAGAGTAGAAAAAAACGGAATCAACAAACATTGATAAAAAACAGGGAAAATACTTTTCACACGATGTCAGAAAATTTAGTGCCAAAGAAGTGAACTGAAAAATGTTAAAACGTTCTATAAGTTATCCGTCTGTTTAAAATAGAGATTAAAAAAAATAAAACAAACGTGACTCAGCAGCAAGTGGCAGTGAAAATGTCAAATGTCACAAAAAATTACAAACGCCGTTTAAATGAATTTCAATTTAGTTTTTATTGGCAACTGAAAAATTGAATGTTTTTTGAATGATTTCGTAATCTTTTTGAATGCTAACTACAATTCTATACTTTAACTAGATATTTTTTATTAATTATTTTATCATTTTATGTTTTTCTGTTGATGATATCTAAAAAAAAATAATACAAATAATTATTATTTTGCTACAGTAAGATGACAGAAATCAGGAATATTTTGAAGCTCAATCAAAAAATAAAATTTGGGAACAAATAGCATGTTAACATTTTTTTAAAAGAAATTCAGACGTACGCGTAGAATTGGTATAATTCGAATTCTAAAAGCTATACAGTCTTTCACATTTCTAATATAAATACTCACCCTTATAGATTGCTACGAGCGTAATAGATGCTTCAATTAACGATTAATTTTATCCCCACTACAAATTGAAGGTGTCATAATATTGGCGGTTCATCCAACAAACTGCATTCGGTTATCATCTGTAAAGAATAAGCGGCTCTGAGCACTTTTTTTTGCCGACGCAGAACTTGGCGCCACTGAGGTTAACGAGGCAGCCACTGTGCAGATGTCGCATTACAAAGCTCTACTCTATTATTGAAAATGTTCTCTTTTATGTAATCTCGCCACACTTTCTGTTAAATGCCAACAAAGCTGTCAAATAAAAGATGGATACAGATACAAAGATAGAGCACCAAATAACCAAAACTACTAAAATTTATTTGGAACTGTGCAGTTATTTTTACAGGAGCTGTCACACATTTTCCAACAAACATGTGACAAACACTTTTATATATGTTAATTTGGAGAGAAGTGAAATTGACTGTTTAATATTTCAAATAGACGAGAAATAAAATTTATTTCGGCACAACACACATCACGGAATTTCTAACATCGCCTGACAGTTACTCAGGTTCAATTTCAGAAAGTAAAAAAAATTGAAAATCGGAGTTTTAAAATAAATAATGAAAACAAATAAAACAAAACCATTTTGAGATTGACATTTTAGTTTGCATTTGTAGAGATACCTGCCTGCTTAACCATCAGGATGAATTTTTTCATCCACGCCTGAAGCAGACACGTTGTTGAAAGAGCTTCTCAAAAATTCCTGGAAGAAATTGAATGCTTTCTATTTATATTTGAAGTCATTATATTAAACTATACTAAACAGAAATACTATTGTGATGCTATTAAAAATAATAAAACAACTCTTTACTACAAAAAATAAGAAAATAATTTTAAACAGTTGAGACGACACAAGCAAACACCTTTGTAGGATAAATAAATGCTTTACATATTAAACCCGTATTTTATATTCTAGAAACCTAGATACAAACGCTGTGCTCTGTGCACAGCGTATATGTCTAGAATTATATATATAGTTGTTTAGGAAAGTCACAAAATTTTCATCGTTATTCGATTATTGCAGTCAACTGCAGTGTAACTTTTTGTTTGTGCATTTATAGTAAATTTAGGATTCAGACTGTCAGATATACAATACAGTTGTTT